CGGCTGTTGGCTTCTTCCGCGCGCGCGGCTCCGCCCGGCGTGAGTTTTAAGCCACCGGGTCCAGGACGCGAACCGCGGTCGACTACGTGGGAGTCTAGTGACATAGCCATTACGCTAACTGCTGGTTCCCAGGACAGACCATCTTGAATTCAAACACCACCTCAACTACTTCCTCACCATATAATTCAGGGCAAAGGACACAACTTCTGAGAGGCACTTTCTTCGTTGGTAGAATGGAGATAATATAATACTTATCTTGTGGGGTTTGTTTGGAGAATGAAATGGGCACAGTTTCCCAAGGGAGGTTCCACCATAGGGCACCATCCCTAGTTAATGCTAAAGCGTCCTAATCAATATTAGCAACGGTCCATGCGTTGCCACCTTGCAGACTCACCTTATTTAAATTCGGCTCACCCTGTTCCCCATAAAGTCAGTTCTCTTTTACTTCTCCGGCTCTCACCTTGGTCACCCAAGCTCAAAACCACTGTTTCCTCCTCGTAACTTAATCTTGCTGTACATCCATTGAATTGCCAAGCACCTGTGGTGGTTGTTTCAGCCATCTGTGTTTAGATAAGTCACCGAACCTTCCTGGGTCTTTATTTCATCACTTTTGACATAGTGAGCAGTACGGAAACAATGGGTTTCAAAGTTTTTAAGCCGCGGAAATCTTTCTCCAAGCAACCTCCCATGACAAAGTTCAAGACTGAAATCTCTGGGCTCTACCAGCCAGAGATTCTGGGCCTGATGTAGAACCCAGCAGTAGGCAGTTTACATATTCCCTGGTGATTCTGAAGGAGAAAGAACTTCAGGACCCACTGGTGGATTGTTGGGCGTGGCAAATACTCATCAAATACTAGGAAATAACAAGCAATAAATTAGTATTTGTGTACCAGCTCAGGCCAATTCGAACATACTTCTTGTTTCAACATTAGATAAGGGATGTAAACTTTTTACCTACTGGACTAATGAATGGTACATAAAATGATCCCCTTAGGCTCCCATCTGATTTTATACAATTTAGGGTTCCAAGATTATCTAGGGCCTTCCCCATGCAGATAGGACTCTGTGGTGAGTTCCAGCTCTGGTTAAAGTGATGGCCAAAAAATGAAGAGCAGGCGGCCAGGTTGGCCTCTCTTTGGTTCGTTGGGAGAAGAGAAATCTAGTGACCAAAGAGCAATTTGAAAGGAAATGAGTCAGACAGGAAATGAGGAGAGAAAGTGGGGGAAGTGATAACGGTGGGGAGGGCAGCAGAGGACTTAACGCTCCACACGATAGGCACTCCCCGAGCTACTGAGACCTGCTGGCTCCTGCACAGACAAGCTGTAGCTTTCATCCTACACCAGTTGGCACACGGCAAAGCTATCGGGAGAATTCATGGGCATAAAGGTGGTCAACTATGATCTGGCTAAAGACCAAGGGCTTGAGGAGAGTCATAGGATAGAAATTCAGCAATTCTAGAATTATCCTCTGCTTCCAGAGCTACTCCACAAGACAATGACTTTTTGTCATTTTAGGCACAACCAGAGATTGGTGAGTAAGTGGGCTCAGCACTTAGCTTCTTGTTACTATGAGAAATTGTTCCAAATCAAATACCCCTGTGCAAGAGCACTCCTCTTCTTACTAATAGTCTCCAGGAAAGGAGTAAGATTTGCTTTCGGATGTCAAGGCAAAGAAAAGACATAGATGGAGTAAGTGTGGCAAAATCTACATAAGGGTTGGACCTGGGTGATGAGCACGTGGGGTTCCTTGTACTCTTCTCTCTGGTTTATTTGAGAGTTTCCATTTGAAAATGCCAGTGAGGGCAGGCTAGGGACACAGGGGTAATACACGTTCAGCAATGGCGGATCCATGTGGAAGCTCCCTGGTTTGGTCCCCAGTCCATCTGCACACGTCAGGCACACATGGCCGTGATCCCAGCTGTCTGGGAAGGCCAAAGGGGTGGGGATTGCGGCACAAGGCCTTGTTGGTGGTGTTTGTTTTTGGTTTTGTTTTGTTTTGTTTTTGGGGGGAGGTTTTTGCTATAGAGCATGTGCACTTGCCAGAAAGAGAAAGAGAGATAGAAAACGAGAAATCACCCCCCAGGGGGGATGGCCATGCTGCAATCCCTTCTCCTCCATTCTCCTCTCGGGATCTTGGGCACGCACATACACATGCCCGGCGCGAGTTTCAAGCCACTGGGCCTGGGACGCGAACCGCGGTCGACTACATGGGAGTCCAGAGACATAGCCATTATGCTAACTGCTGGTCCCAATATTTATCTTCTTTCTCTCGTTTCTCTGTCTCTCTCTTTCTCTGTGTGTGATGTGTTTCTCCCTCTTTTTTAGAAAACAAATGTAAACAGATTTTAAGGCAAAGAATTATTTATCCTTTCCTTTTTCTTTAAAAGCAACAAAAAAGGGGCCAGGTAGTGGGTGTGCACCTGGACTTGCATGGTTCCACAGTTGGGTCCACGCCATGTGGGGTGTGCACATTGGGACTTCCCTGAGCGCACCAGATATTCACCTATGTGCCTATGATCCAGGCCAGCCCAGGCAGGGCTTGATTGCAATATAGGGGCTCTGCTGGGGATGCCTGTCTCTCTTTTTCTCTTCCTTTCTCATAAAAGAGAGAAAGAGGAAAAGGGGAGAAGGAAGGAAGAAAGGAGGAAGAAAATCTCTGAGTGAGGGCTTATCATTTAGAATATGCTTAAAACTACACTGGGGGCTCTTCACCGAGGCAGCGCAACCTAGCTGAGGGAACCTCTAGCCTGCTTGAAAGACGGAGATCTGTGACCTCCGTGCTGTCAACATTAACAAAAGTTTCCTCTTCACCCAGGACTGAGGCAGCGCTACCTAGCTGAGGGAGCCTCTAACCCTTGAAAGACGGAGATCTGTGACCTCCGTGCTGTCAACGTTAACAAAAGTTTCCTCTTCACCCAGGACTGAGATTAGTGTCTTGAAAGCCTTTTTTGTTTTAAACCATGAAATCCTTTTTTCAGCAAACTCTTAGGAGGAAGCCCAATATGTCAAATAGATGAAACGGACCTGCCGTGGTGGAAAGCAGTGTGTGTCTATGTGTGCACCTGCTGGGCGCTGTGGCTCAGGGCTGTGCCCTCGCTGCCATGTCACCCATCAAGGCTCCCAAAGAGATGCCAAGAAACCCCTAGGTCTCCTGGCGATTGACCAAGATGCCCAACCTGATCACGTATCAAACAACTCTTATATTCCCACTCACACAAAGAATCGTAGCCTGCCCGAGATCTGTGTCTCTGGTCCTGAGTGTTTGGCCTTGTTAGAGAAATGAATGAGCCTGGCCAAGCGCGTCATAACCGCCACAACTCCCTTCGCCAACAGATATTGATTTTGCCACCCGCAAGATCGCAGTACGTCTGACCCAGACGAAGATCATCAATCAAGATGGCGACAACTTCAAGACGAAAACCAACAGCACATTCCGCAACTATGACTTGGATTTCACTGTCGGAGTGGAGTTTGACGAGCACACAAAGGGCCTGGACAACCGGCACGTGAAGGTACTGACCGTTCAGGCTGGCGTTTTCCACCCTCATGCTCTTTGTGCAGGGGCCGCCTATTTGGCTCCATGATGAACAAATGATGGGGGGGTGGGGGGGAGACTAGGAAGGATAAGGAAAAGGGAGACCAGAATGGACTTTATGATGCCGGCTATTAGCACTGATTAAAAGTGTAGTGGGATAGGGACCAGCAGGTAGCGTAATGGCTATGTCGCTGGACTCCCACGTAGGCGACCACAGTTCTCATCCCAGACCCGGTGGCTTAAAACACGCCGGGCATGTGTGCCCGAGATCCAGAGAGGAGAATGGAGGAGAAGGGATTGCGGCGTGGCCATCCCCCCTGGGGAGTGATTTCTTGCTTTCTGTCTCTGTCTTTCTCTGTCTGTCTGGCAAGTGCACGCGCCCTATAGCAAAAATCTCTCTCTCCAAAAAAAAAAAAAAGTGTAGTAGGAGGAGGCAGGCCAAGGGGGAGGAAAGGATTTCAATGGCCCTCCCAGGGTCTCAGGCAGGTGCTCAACTCTTATACTGACATGGGCTGGGCAGGCTAAGTGAAGAGGGCGAGGTGGAATATCACAGGCAGAGATGGAGACAGGGGCCCACGGGGGAATACAGAGAGCTTCACATAAAGGGGGAAGCCCTGTCCAGCCCCCAAACACTGCCATGGAGGAACCAGGCTTCGTGGAGCCAATTTTTTGATTTTTTTCTTTTCAGGAAGTGTTAAGAATTCAAAATATAAAGATGATCTCAATTGATTTAACTTTTAAATTATAGGCAAATGACCCAAAAAGTCAGCAGACTAAATGAAGTTTAGATGTATCCAGTCCTAGTAACAGACAGAAGTCTCTGGCAGGTTTTGAGTTTCTGTTCTAGTGTAGTCTTAACTTGAAGATCAAAATCTAGGAAGTCCTCCATGCCTCAGAAGCCCAATGTTCCTGTCACTTGAACTATAGGTAGAAAGCAAGCAGAAAACAACTGAGTAGGCAGCGGGAGCTATCCCAAAGTCCAAGAGCTGAGTTTGCTGAAGAGAGGCCCCTGCTTAGAGGAGCTATTGATAAGGTAGAGGCTGGCAGATAGCAGGGAGAAGAGGGTGGTGCTGGGAAGGTGGGGGTCCCAGTAGCCCTTTCCCTGTGTCACCATGTGGTTTCACAGCCCAGAGACCCACCCACCCTCACCAGTATTCACATTCATGCTCAGCATGCCCATCTCTGATTCCCCAAATCGAATCACACTTGGTCAGTTCCCACCAAACAGGAATATGGAGAAATTCATTATCAGTTGTAAAGACTCCTCCCTCCCTATCTCAAAGAACCACCCTAAGAATGACATGGCCCAGGATACTTGGGTCACTGGATTGTCAACCATCATTGTTGTCCCAGCCTATGCAGTTTACACAAGGGCGTTTGCATGTTCATAGCACCTTCCTCTCTAAGCCAATTCAGCCATGGAACCTCCACCCTGGCTCCCGAACTGAGGAAGACCAGAGCTGAGTGTTCTGTGCCCAGGATTTCTTGCTTTCACCCCCAGAAAAGGGCCAGCTTTGCAGGTGATTCAACCAAACAAGAACCTTCATCTGACCTTCCCGGTTCTCCATGAGCCCCACTCTTCCGACGGTCGCATCACCACTCTCAGACTCTCGCCCTGTGCTCCTAGGAGGTCTTTCAAAATCAGAGGTCTCCACTCTTCCCCAAAGCCAGAGATGTGTGCTCTGGCTCTTGTCCTGAAACGGGGAAGAAAAATGGTTATCATCCTTCGGTAATACCTCTACAACCAAGAGGGCAGGACACATTTTATTTCTCAATCAAGTTGTCCTGCAGCATTGATAATCTCAGCCATCAAGTCAAGGTTGAATTATATGTAGTGCTCTTTGCTAAAGAAAAGTGGGGAAGTAAAAAGCGCTTTGGAAATTCTTCCATCATATTGAATATTATATCAGTCTTAGCATGAGAGCATAAGTTTTCGGGCCCTGGAACGTCAGCTCACAGAACCTCTCTGAGGGGATGATGGATCCGTGGGGCTTTTCTGAACCGTGTGGCTGAAAGGCCAATTCATCAGGCACCAGAAGTGATAGGAAAATTGGTCTCTGAATTTTTGCATCACTCTGCTGTTCCCACCTAATCAGTTCAAAATGATTCATTTCCTGTCTTTCGGTTTGGTATGAGCTCTTGAAAAGCAAGTCTGTCCTTTTGACGCCTCCCTTTATCACCTTTGGTGGCAGGACTCACTCTTCCTGAAATAAATCACGTCCTCTGGTCCTTCCTGACCCCTGTAGGGTTCTGCCTGTGACCACCCACCCTTCTGCCTCTTTGCCTTGCAGTCCCCTCCTCGCTCCAAGATCAGCAGTTAGCCTTGCAAGGAAAGACAATCCCCTTTTCCACACCTCGCCTCTTCTTTGCCTGCAGCATAAAGTTAGGGCTAATAAACACACACACAGATACACACACACACACACACACACACACACACACACACACACACTGGAGCGTGGTAGAGGAGTAAAGGGGGTGGGGGAGAAGTACCCAGAACAAAGAGTAATCCCCAATGAGAGTCATAGCACAGAGCACGTGCCCTCAGAACTGCCTGCTTCCTGGAACCACACTCCCCTCCACAAAGGGAATGGGTGAGTATAGCTGATTATGTGTGCACACACTGTGTGTCTGCCTAAGCATGTGCCTGTGTGAGTGTGCATGCTTGCATTGATGCATATGTATGAGTGTGTATGTCTGTGTGCATGTACAGTTCTCCACATGCTTTAGTTCTCCAGGGCTCCACTTCACAATTCCTTGGTCAGCCTTGTAGACCCTCTGGAAACTCCCCACTCAGCAGATTGGAGGAGAGGTGCATGAAGGGCCCTCTTATGTCTGGTTCTGAGCCAGCCCTGAGCAGGAGCAAGGATCATGATGAGATCAACGCTTCTCTGAGGGGTCTTCCCCATGAGAAATGCATAATCCTAGCTTCCTACCCTGTCTTGCTTCTAAGAGGATTTAAAACCCTTTTTTGTTTTTTGTTTTGTTTTGTTTTGTTTGTTTTTTGGAGAGGTTTTTGCTATAGTGTGTGTGAGCTTGCCAAAAAGACAGAGAGAGACAGAGAGATAGAAAGCGAGAAATCACCCCCCAGGGGGGATGGCCACACCGCAATCCCTTCTCCTCCATTCTCCTCTCAGGATCTTGGGCACGCATGCACACACACCCAGCATGAGTTTAAGCCACCGGGTCCGGGACTCGAACTACGGTCAACTACATGGGAGTTCAGCGATATAGCCATTATGCTAACTGCTGGTTCCTCCCGATACCCTTTTCAAAAATACACAAGCATCCTCAAAATAAAATAAGTCACTCCTCACTTAGCAACCTACCTGTTTAACGACAGATCAGACTTAGACCAGTTCTCCAGTGGGGGGAATCCTCTTAGTCGTTGTCTCATTCCTGCAGTCCATTAGTATTCACTACATGAAGAGTTTGCAATCACACAAGACTACATATTTCATTTATAAATTTGTACTTTATTATGCACCCATAGCAGTATTCAGAACAAATAAAAATGATTGCACTGGATTTATATTATTGCGCTATGGTGTGTCTTGGTGCTTTCTAACACTTATCTAACTTAGGCTTTTTGTATGACTAGAATTACATTAGTCTAGTGTGGTATTGCATGATATCTATTGAAAATGCATACCCTACTACACCACAACACACCACAAGACACCCACCTTAATGCTCCTCGTTCATGGGCCAATTTGCTTAATGATTGACTTAGTCGTAGGAATAGAACTCAGTTGTTAGGTGAAGAGGGTTTGTATGAAGAAGCAGTTGATGTCTGTGCAATAGGATGTGGAGTATCATGCAGCCCGTAAGAAGGAACAGCGTGCTGATACATTCTATGACACGGATGAACCTAGGAAACATGCCGCAGGAGAGGAGCCACACATAAAGAAGTCATATGTTATTTGACTTACATGAAATGTCCAGAATAGGCCAATTCATAGCAGAGGAAACAGGTGGTGACAGCAAATAGGTATGGGGCTTCTTTTGGCCTTAAATAGTGGTCATGATTACATAATCTTGCGACTATAGTGAAAGCTGAATTGCATACTTTCAAGGATGAATGTATGGCTTACGAATGATAACGTAATACAAAAATATCATTGAAATAGGGGCAGCGATAAGGCCAGGGAGAAGCAGGTAAAGATGACAGCCGTGGAGCCCAAAACGCCGCTGTGATCCTGGGAGGAGGCGAGCAAGCCCAGAGGAGGGGTGGTAGACAGTCAGGGGGCACTGCCTCCTCCAGGAGGGCGGCCCTCGGGGCCTGCCTGCCAGAGAAGGGGACAGGAGCTGCAGGTAGAAGGAGGGACCTGGATGAGGGCAAGTGCCCAGGGGAGGGTGATAGTGTCCTCTACTGCTGTCAATTTAAGGAGCTGTTATTTTCCTTTAAAACAGTAAGCTGTGTGGGGGAGTGATTCCAACTTACATAAAAGTTATAAGAATTTAACAAAGAATACCAGCGTACTCTTTAGGAGAGGTACCTGTTGTTAGCATTTCACCCCATTTGCTTTATCATTTGTGTTAAGTTATTTTATCTAAATAATCTGATTCATTATCCCTCAATTACTCGGTATATATTGCCTAAGAGCTAAAATATTCTCTTGAATGACTGCCGTGTAGTTATCAAATTCTGTCAATTTAACGTTGGTGTAGGACCGGTACGTAATCTGCCATGTAGAGCTTTTAATGATGTGAACTTTGGACACTGCGATGGCGCAATCCTGCTGGGGCCACCTTCCTTCTTTAATTTTGGGCAAACTACCTGCTCTTGGAAAATGCTTCCTCTTCCTCCCTACCCAAAGACCATCTCAGCTTTGGAATCTTTTTTTTTTTTTTTTTTAGAGGTTTGTTTTTTTTGCTACAGGACGCGTGCGCTCGCCAGACAGACAGAGAGAGACAGAGAGAGAGAAAGCGAGAAAGCACCCCCCAGGGGGGATGGTCACGCCGCAATCCCTTCTCTTCCATTCTCCTCTCGGGATCTTGGGCATGCACGCACACGCACCCGGCGTGAGTTTTAAGCCACCGGGTCTGGGACGCGAACCGCGGTCGACTACGTGGGAGTCCAGCGACATAGCGATTATGCTAACTGCTGGTCCCAGCTTTGGGATCTTTTAAAACTTCCTCTGATACAAGAATGAAGGGCACAAACCACCAGTAAACAGAATCATGGAATCCTAGTCATTTCACTGTTCTCTTCTTTCCGCTCTCCACCATCTGTTTTAGGTAGGAGTAGGCTATGATGTTGTACGCAGCACCATGATGCACTGGTAACCAACGTCCTTTGGGTCAGAATGACTTCATCTGGCTGCCCAGCACGAGTTAGTGAAGTGCTAGGACAGGCCCTGCGCAGTAACATTTTTCTCCTTCCTCTCTTCTGCAAAATTCACAAAGCCCCTTCCACAGAGAAGACCTGAGTCAGGAGTGAGATGTACGATGATAAATCAGACCCCCTTTGCCATTCTTAGAGATCTCAAGCCTCCTGGGGGAGGCAGACTAGCGGATGGATAATGACCACAGAGTGCCCGTGTTAATGGACATGTGTGTTCTCTGGTATGACTGCAGACACCGAGGCAAGGAGATGGGTAGGTTTAGCTCAAGATTCTGTTTTAACAAAACCGCCCAACCACAGACTCATTCAACAAGGCTGGTCACTGCGCTGAGGCTGGTGTTGCAGAAATGAACGGGGGGTGTAGCTGCTGAGTAGGCAGATTCACAGAATTTGAACTTCAGGGACCTTCTTACCGATCGGGGGAGACACATCAATGCAGCCAACATGTTCTAAGTGTTCATCCTGCACAAGGCAATACGGGAGTGGAGAATAGAGGACACAGCCCTTGCCAGAACACAGCCATGAATCCTTTCTCATCTATAGGGAAGAAACCCAGAGTCCAAGACCAATCACGGGCAACAGCCAACAAGTAGTCTAGACAACAGCTCCCCCCCTGACAGAGCAAGAAAAGTGGACTATGAATCGAGTGTGTCTAGGACATTCAAAGATGTGAGGCCTGGGATAGTTGAAGGGAGGGAGACTTTCTTTCTGTAGAAAGCATGTAGAATTTTATTTTTAATTAGTTATGGAAATATGCAGATGGTTCATTTTTAAAAAGTTATAAACAATAAAAAGTAAAATTTTCTTTCCACTCTGGCCTCCAGACACCCAGTTCTTCCTGAAAGGCAATCACTATTAAAAGTTTCTTTTATATCCTTGCAGAGAATGTGCCCAGAACATGGCTCTGCCCCTTGCCTTTTTCACTAAAACAGTACAGGATGGCTATATTCATTCCGGGAGTGTATAGCAGGGAGGAACCATACCATATTTAACCAGCCACCTACTGACGGAATTTATGAAGCTTCCAGTCCTTTGCTGTAACAAACAATGCCGTAATGCATTGGGGAGTAAAATGAGGAGGTATAAAATTGTACATAAAACATATAATATGGCCAAGGTCAAATATTATTTTAGAAATAGGTAGATTTAACAATCTGTAGAAAACAGATTTGTACCAAAAAACAGACCTGAATGTACAAAGACTTAGAAGAAAATTCAGGTCTGTGTATCACAAAGTGGGTTTACAAGGCATGGAGGAAAGTGAAAATCTGGTCCTTAGCATAATATTGTTCATAGAGGCATAATATGGCTTCAGACATACTTGGGAGAACACCAACTAGCAGCAGGGGCATTCCCTGAGGAAGGACAATGCAAACACAATGTCATTCCCTGAGTGGGAGGTGCAGGTGCAAAGCTAATCTGGGCACGGGTATACTACAAGACCACCTAGAAGGAGGTGTAGTACCAGGGCAGCTTTCAGAAGGGGTAAAAGTGGGAGACAGAGGAGGTGGTGACAGGGAGTTGCATAATTTGAGAATATGAGCTAAGGGATTTGAGTGCTCTTGGGGTTCAGTTGACCTGTGGCTTCTCCAACCTGCTAGCTAGCTCAGTCTAGCTGGCCATGACGAGTTCTGCTGTCTCTGCTTGTCTCTGCTTGTTCTCTTGTCTCTGTCCTACTAAGGGGGTGGTGTCACTGCCTGAAAGATACCACGGACCAGGAGAAGATCCACACTCTGTGTTCTGGATGGGAAGGCGGGCACTGCAGTCTTCTGGATGGCCCCCTGGTTAATTACGGAGCTTCCCTGCCTTTATTACTGTCCTTCAGTGGAGAGTCCTAGAAGAAAAATTCCCATAAGTACCATTTCTAGGTCAAAAGTGTGTGCAATTTTATATTTTGAAAGGTAATATAAAATGGCATTCCAAAAAGATTTATACCACTTCATATTCCCACCTGTCATAGATGTGGGTACCTGCTTCTCCATCACCCCTTCCAGCTAAGTGTATTACCAGACTCCTAGACCTCTGACCATCTGATGAACTGTATCTGACGAACAGTCTCAATTTGCATTTCTCTCATGAGCAAGGTTGAATATCTCTTCTCATGTTTGAAAAAGCCATTTGTTTGGGTTTTTCTCCCTTTTAAGCTGTCGGTTCATATTTTTTGTTGACAATGAACCAGCGGTTAATGATATTTTTCTTATTCAGTTATTAAAGCCCTTTATATTTAAGGAAATTAGGTCTTCGTTGGTGTGTCACAAGTTCTTTTCCCCAGTTCGTTATTTATCTGTTGACTTGGAGGTATTTTTTCCCTTCCAGAAATTTTACCAGGTTCTATAGTCAAGTTTTTCATCTTCCCCCCACTGCTTTGAAAGACTACCTTTACTGTACAAAAAATGGAAGAGTAGAAGTCTTTACATGAGAACAGAGCAACCCACCGAAGCCGGCTTGGCTGGAGTGCGGGGTGTGTGTGGAGAACGAGACCAGAAAGGTCCTGGCTCGCTGGGGCCATGGCTCTGCCCCGTGGACAGGCAGGGGTTGGGAGTGGGGACAGGGATGGCTCTGGGAGGCACGGCTGCCCGTCTGGGTTTCCCAGTCCCTCACAGTCACACGTCTGACTCGTCTGTGAATCTGTCATTGCAGACGCTGATCGTCTGGGAAGGTGATGTCCTCGTGTGCGTGCAAAAGGGGGAGAAGGAGAACCGTGGTTGGCGGCAGTGGGTTGAGGGAGACAAGCTATACCTGGTAAGTTCTGGGGTCCGGATGGCTCCCCTCCTCTGCCTTCCACTAACTACCATGGTCAGCTGGCCAGGTGCTTTGACAAGAAAAATGGACCTGCACACCTCCCCTGGGCTCCAGCCAAATGCATGTGGTCATACCGTCAGAAAGCCATTCCGTCTGGCCCGGGGGAGGCCAGGAAGAAATCTATATGGCCGTTTCTGTGAACTGCTGCAATTAAAAAGAAAGTTCAAAATGCTGACTTAGGAAACGAGCTCCAAAGAGAAATGCAGGGAACCTGTTAAAGACCAGCTGGGGAGAAATAGGGGAGCAGAATTAAGATGCCCTGGAGGAGGGCGGGACCAGGCATCTCTCAAGGATGGGAACGTGGAAGGCACAGTGCGGGTGGGGAGGGGGGCAGAGCAGCGGGACCTGGAAACTGCCTCAGGTCATGAGCTCTCACGTGACTTATGTCCACCTCCATCCCAAAATATGTTAGGGCAATTTGATACTAGAACTGAGCGGTAGAACAATGGCTGAGATCCTTAAATAAATTATACCTGTCTAGACAGCTTAATTTTTCATTCGTCAATCTGCAAGACAATTTTTGGGTCCAACTTTCAAGTAGTGAAAAATCTTTCACTCCTTCAAGCATTCAGTCACCCCTTTGTTAAGTTAATGGCTCATTCAATGAATGGCTTTTATTCCTTCCTTCCTTCCTTCCTTCCTTCCTTCCTTCATTCACCCATGGAGTCAGGCAGACACCTGGCACCAATGTCGGCATTCGAGTCACCATGGTGCCCTTCAGGACCAACCTTGCTTCACCTGAGATCTTTATTTGAGGCAATGTCAGCTGATGATATATGGGAGGCATTCTCCGTGTTTTCTATCGACGGCTTTTCCTACCTGCTCTGGTTTGGATGATGGATTTTTTTCATTGTAGTACAACCCCCATAGGTCCCTGTGGCTAAGACAATGGATTCGTCATCAACAGTAATGATCGTGGTGATGGTCCCAACACTCCTGTTTCCCTCCTCCTTCAAGGGTCAGTGAACTACAGGAAGGCCTGAGGGCTCCCTCAGCACCTGCATGAAAAGCAGCCCCTGTCAGCTGCACAGGCAGGCCTAGGCGAGCTCTCACCCTGTGTCATGTCACTACCAGCCAACGTCCTCACCACCAAAGGCCAGAAAGGCCGCGTGGGGAGGGGCCTATCACCGGCCAGCCTCTTCGCAGATCCTTGCCTTCCAAATGCTTCTCCATACTAGAGCCTCCTCTTCCTCGTGGCTTTGCTGCCTTTTATAAATTAAGTGACGTTGCTTTAATCATGAGAGTAGGAGAAATCCTGCCCAAGAGGGCCATTTCTTTGCATTTTTCATTTTTATAGGGGTTCAAGCTCACGTCAAGTGTCAAAATCAAATTACCGCCACCTGCAGGGCACGCCAGCTGAGTGCCTCTGTGAGACGCACTTGCCCAGAATGACTAAGTGTTCTCTCTCTCCGCTCCCACCCCCAGACACCAGAAGGGCTAGGATCTAGACAGAAGGAAGACCTGCCTTGTGAGCCACTCACCACTTTCTGACTCACCACTTGCAGGAGCTGACTTGTGGTGACCAGGTGTGCCGTCAAGTGTTCAAGAAGAAGTGAAGGCCACGCGGGAGGCTCGCCCGGCTCAGCACACACTCGCTGCACCCACGCAGTGTTCTCCACTGGCTTTGAAGAGCAGCCACTGGGACCTGCCCGCTCCTGACAAAGACCAATTAAGGCAACGGGGTGGGCTTTAAATAGAAGGAGTGTGTATCAGTAACAGAAACCTTCCTCTTTTGAAACCCAGTATTAAAGGAAAAACAAAAATCACTCCCATACCTTGAAATCCTTTATAGCTCACTTCTTTCATTTCTAGAACTGTCAATTTTACCCAAAGGCAGAAGAGGTGACTACTGTGTGGTTTTCTTGCATTCTTTTATGTGTTAATTTGTTTTGTTTCATTTTGTTCTTTTTTGTTAATTTGTTGGTGTTATTGGCAGGGCCAGGGGGGTGTGGGGAGCTTTTTTACCTAGAAACATTCTCTGGTCAACAACGCATCCTGGACCAATTCTTGATTGTCCCTCATTGAGTTCTATTTCTTTGGACAGCACTTAATTTCTTAAAATTCCGATTAAAGATAATGTGCCCGCTAGTTTATGCCTCGCCCGGAGCATCCTGGGGGAGCTGCCCACAAAGCCTCTGAGGGCCCATAGTCCAGCAACTCTGGGCTCAGGCCACTCCTCTGCCTTCAGCCAGGCAGAAAGGAGGTCATGGCGCACCGTCCTTTCAGTCTCAGGGTGGCTTCTCACTCGCTGCCCAATGCAGCTCCAGGACCCGGAGGCCTGACTCCAAGTCCCGCCGCCCCATTTGCCTGGGTGACCATGGGCACATCATTTGGCCCCTCTGGCCTCGTTCTCCTCCGTAACACGGAGAAGACCATAATAGCACCTCCTCCACTGGGTAAGGGTTAAGATTAAGTAAGGTGACACACACGAAGTTCTTGGAACTGGGCCAGGAGCCTGGTAAGGGCTCCATCTCTGCTAGCTGTGGTCCTTAGGTTGAGTGGCTTGTTCCACCATCCCAGGGTCCAGGAAAGCAGATGCTCAGTAGCAACAGGTCAATACTTCCAAGGCTTCTAGGTATTCTCAGCACATCGGGCTCATTACTCTGAGCAGTACTTTCCTGCTAGACACACATAGTATGCATGGAAGGACAAAGCCTTTCATGGGGACAGACTTGTGATGGATCATTTATGGGATCTTGGGCAGACATTGCATATCAAGGCCATCTCCTTCAATTCTCTGCAGAGAGCCTTAGGTAAGCATTTTCTTTAAAAAGTAAGTTAATCATGGGACCAGCAGTTCGCTCAATGGCTATGTCGCTGGACTCCCATATAATCGACCACGGTTCGAGTCTCAGACCCAGTGGCTTAAACTAACACCGGGCATGTGTGCATGCATGCCCAAGATCCCAAGAGGAGAATGGAGGAGAAGGGATTGCGGTGTGGCCATTCCCCCTGGGAGGTGATTTCTCTCTCTCTCTGTCTTTCTGGCAAGCACATGTACTCTATAGCCAAAACCTCTCCAAATAATAAATAATTATTATTATTTATTATATAAATATAATATATA